CACACACACACACACACACACACACACACACACACACACACACACACACACACACACACTTTTAAGATGTAGTGCTCCCCGACAGCACCAGTCTTCATGAGACAGAGGCGGTCAGGAACAGTGAGCATCAAACGATGTAAATGAGATTTTTTTTTCAATAATAAAAGAAAATACAATTAGATTGAACATAAAAAAATGCACAGGTTTATTGGATATTTCCTTTTAATAATAAATCAAAGATCTTTGTTTACTTTAAAGATGCTTTTTTGCAAACTTTAAAGTAAGTCAAACATAAAAATATTTCTTATAAGTAATAACAAATGGTGCAATATGAGTTTACTCCAGTAATTCTCCAGATATGTAACTCTAAAAGGCGGGTATGCACTCGATGTAAATAAACTTCTTAGTGCATATTTTATTGTTTGAAGTGATCAACATGGTTATGAGTGTGTCTTCTCCCTCCTCTCTCTCAGTAGCACCAGGGCTCGTTAAGCTGCTCGGCTGCAGGCAGCTCTTTCCTCGATGGTCTCTCCCACGATGAAGGCGGTGGTGGACGCCGTCTGGGCGGTGTGGAGCATCGGGGCCTCCATCTACGACTACATCCACACCACCGCCATGGAGGAGCGCATCCACACTCTGGAGAACGTCATATCCCTCCACCAGTGTGCGATCGGGCTGCTGTCGGCCGGCGTGCTGGCTCTCTTCACCTACATCCTCTTTAGGAAGCTCTAAGGACCGGCGACGCTGAAGAACCGCAGCTCGGTGCGACGCAGTTCACTTTGATTAGAAAAGCTGCTTGGTTTCAGGAATGGGTTAAAGTTGGGAAGCAAAATGTCACCCAACAAGGAAAACGGAAGGAAAATCTGGTCTAAAATGAAATCAGAACATTAAGGTAGTGAAGTATTTAATGTGGCGGTTGTAATAAAATTAGCGATGATTTAAACTAAAGAAATTTAATCCAGTTCCACTACGAAACTCAGCTCTGTTTTCTTGTTTCAATCCTGCTAACAGTGCTGTCACATCAGCGCCCTCTAGAGGCTGGGAGCAATTACATCATCTGAACAGAGCAACTCATGTGCTCATGTTCGCTTGTAAACCCAACATATTTTTTCATTTTTATGGAAAAAACAGCAACCTTCACCCTATCAGTGAGTGTGTCACTGCAGCATTTTTTTAGGGACCAGCTAAAATAATATTTATGGTCATAAAAACAGTATTTATGTATTTATTTCATTTTATAAATAAGATACCATATTATTTTAAAATTGATTCTTTTCAGAGTAAAAAAAATACTTAAACATTTAAGTAATCTTTTAAAGTTTGTCTTAAATCCATTGTTTCTCATTAGTGAATGTAAACAGTGAATCAACAACTGGCAACTTCTCGTCTCGACCCGACCCGGTGAGATTCTGGTGAAGAGCTTTTTTTTWAATTTTTTGATTCCTGAAAAAACTGGCACATTAATTAGATTACAGAGGTTTTGTCCTGGAACCGGAAGGTTGCCGGTTCGATCCCCCGTCCAGCAGTTTCAGTCGTTGTGTCCTTGGGCAAGACACTTCACCCGCCTTGCTTACTGATGGTGGTCAGAGGGTCCGGTGGCACCGGTGCATGGCAGTTTCACCTCTGTCAGTGTGCCTCAGGGCAGCTGTGGCTACAATGTAGCTTACTGCCATCAGTGTGTGAATGGGTGAATGTCTGTTAAAGCGCTTTGGGGTCCAGAGGGACTTGATAAAGCGCTCTATAAGTTCAGTCCATTTACCATTTATTAAGAAATTTGTTTTGTGGTGTTTAAACTCCTTTTGTCTGTCCAAGACCAGCAGCAGATTAGTAGATTACAGAACGTTAGATAATTAAATAACGGTTTTTGTGAGCATACGTTTCATGTTGGAYGTCAGATGAGAGGAAATGCTTCTCGAGTCGTAGTTTTTGTTGTGTCGGCTGTTACATTGATTATTGTTAACATCAAGATCCAATAATGTGTGTTTTTCCTTAACATTGTATACCTCAAAGCTAATTGTGTAGGCATCACTGCTGTTAAAAAGTACTGATTATAAGTGTCCTTGGAAACTGTGAAACTGCTTAGAGTTGATGGTTGTTTAGGTTTTTCAGACTAGCTTTCATTCAACTCAGCTGCTGCTTGGTTTTTAATTCATGTATCATTGATCACTGATGCAACAGGTGGTGTGTCGTAGAGCAGTGATGTTTCAACACTCACGATCCTGTTACAGATTGAAGAAAAAAATTGCTACTAAGGCGTTTAATAAAGAGGCTCAACAATTAGTTTTTTAATCACTTATTTTCATCACTTTTTAACGGTTAAATGTAAAAATGTTATTTCTGTAGCTCTTCTGAATTCCCACCCAACTTGGTGTCTCGTGACCCAGAGTGGAGTCCTGACCCCTCAACTTCTGGGCCCGCATTTATCAAACATCTTAGAGTGGATTTTTAAATTTCTTAGATTTGCTCCTACTCTCAGACTTAATTGTAAGTGCCAATTATCAAAATTCTTAAGTCTAAGAATCACTCTTACTCTCCCGAAAAGTTGCGGACTCAAGCGGTTAAGAGTTGCCACTACGGGTCTGAGATGGACTGAGGAGACAGAGATCACAGCATTTTTCTAACACACAGTCTGTTTTTAGAATGCATCCTTTTTTTTTTGTCTTTGCAGCGTCGTTTTCTTGCATTTTGTTGTTCGTGTTTTGAAGTTTGCAACATTTTCTAACTTGCAGTCAATTTTACGAATACAGCATTTTTATTTTGCGTTTACTTATTTGAACTTGCATCATTTTTTCTAACATGCAGTTGATTTTATGAATGCATCGTTTTTACTTTGCAGCATTTTTTTTCCGTTTGCAAAGCATTTACTCTTTGCTGCGCGTTTGCACCTGTCAGCCACCGGACAAATCAGCTCTAAAAGACTGGCACTTAAGAATTACTCCTACACTTCACTTAAAGTAAGACTGAGACGCTTCATAACTGACCTTTACTCTCAGCTTTTAACTAAGAAATTTTTTACACTTAAGTCCACTCTTAGCAGCATTCTTAAGAGTAATTCTAAGAAGTTTGATAAATGCRGGCCCTGGTCAAACTTGAAACATTCGTTCGTTTGTGTTGCTGTTTCCAAACCATTACTAGAAAACACCCTCAGATGAAAAACTGTTTTTAATATCACAACAGACTCACAGATTGGATCGTTCTAAACAAAATGTTTTCAACAGTCTGCTTCTCAAAGCATCACAACAAAGTAAACACATGCTGTAAAACATTACAGGCATTAAGAAAACAGGTCAGAGTCTGGGAATGTTTACAGAACACGTCTGGACCTTTAAGAAGAATAAATAGCCTCTTTTCTTTACGAYCTGAAACTTTCCACTTAAAGGTGACGAAACAAGTCGTGACCGGAAAGAGTCGAGTCGTGTTTAAACACTTCCAGGTCCTTTTAGAAACAAGCAGAACGTCTGTAACCCACTCTGCTCCCTCACAAGTGTCCGGTCTGAAACAGAGTGTATTTGGAGGTGAAGCGCTCCACGCTCGGCCCCTCCAGGAACTTCATGGCTCTCCAGTGGATCTTCCCACAGTTCTGGGGCTGACCGAGGGGTCCCTGCTCCTCCTGGATGTACTGCAGCCACAGATCTGCGCCGCCAGGAGAACGGCAGCGTTAACGTCTCACATTCAAACAAGGATTTTATTTTCATCTGTTAATTGTTTGGACTGATAAACCAGTAAATAAACGTTTGAATTAATTCTGTTTTTTGTTGTTTTTTTCCCGTCCTACCCACCATCATCTGAAGTGCCAAACTCCTGCAGCGCTCTCTCATAATAGTCCCTCAGATTATTGATCTTTGGAGTCTCCTGGGGAAAAAAAGATTAGTCTTTTTCTGAAACACTTGTTTTTTTTCCCCAATTTATAAAGAAACTGAGGTTTAATAATCAGCTTTACTTCAAGTGTATTCTTGTTTTGAACAATGGGAGTGATATACGTACTTGTTCTTTCTCTATTTCAATCATTTTTGTGAAAAAAGCCTTGGACAGTGGACGGTTTTCTTGCAGGCTGCAAAAAAAAAGTTTTYATCAGTTTTCAAATCAGTTTTTTGTCCACGTGACCCATAAAAGACTTTTTATGACATCATTAAAATCTGACAATTGGCTTAGTTTACAATTTCATCACAAATCACAACATATTTTCAGAGATTGTTGAAGACTCAGCATCACAAGTTAAACTTGAGATTTAAACCGGAGCGATATCCACATTACTACCTTGTAAAGGTCTTCTTTGCTTTCTTATAGCCTCCGGTCGAGTAGGACCAATCCAGGTAGCGCTCCTTCATCTCCATTGCAACAGTGGCGACTGCAGACTGCAGCCCTCTCTGGAAACCAATAAAAACTGTCTGTGAGGCGGTTTATTTTCACACACACACAGCTTTCATCTCAGTTATCCTGGATCTTAATCACTTTGTATGTGAAGAAAAATAGATCAGTTTGTCTCCTCTAAGACAAACAGCGAGCTTTTATTTTCTGTAAAATAAAACTCTCAGGAGGACGTTGGACTACCTTGAAGACAGCTTCTGTCTCTTCAGGACTCTGGTTCGCCGTGCTCCACTGGACCTGCAGCTGCCACAGTGGCAGACTTTCCTGTGAAAAACAAAAACATCAATAGTTAATAAATTAACTATTTGGGATAAGATGGATTGTTAGGACTATGTGTCATTATAAAAGATGTTAGTTTATGTTCATACTTTCAACTCAAGAGTTTTTGAGTCACAGAATCAGATTATATGAGATTAGCTTCAACGCCTTTAGGTTTATTTTATAAAGAGTGAACTTACAGGTTTTAAAGGGATCCATGATTAGTTGTAACATTAGACTTTATTTGATAAACATTTATTTTAACTGTAAAATAAAGACTAAAAATACTTTAGGCCGTTTAGCTTTTATAATTTTAAAATATATTTAAAGACCATAAATATGTATTAGCTCAGCGCTACACATTCTCCTCTCGTCACTGAGGTCCTCCATCCACATGACAGAGAGGGAAATGCAAAAATGACTCAGCCTGCAACTGAAAATATGGATGGAGGACCTCAGTTTAGCTTGTTTGTTGCGCTAGCACCGAGCTAATACATATGTATATATGGTGATAGTGTCGGCGCTAAAGCTAACAGGCTAAGCTGAGGTTCTTCTTCCATGAAGCAGCTCTGTTGTCCTCCATCTATATTTTCAGTTACAGGCTGAGTCATTTCTACCTTCTCCTCTCTGTCAACGCTCTGGTTTCATTTAAAAGAGTCGATCATCAGATATTGTCCAAGATTAACCTTCAGGGTGGATATAGCTCGCTAGCAGCCTCGCACCGTTGACCTATCCACGTCATCATTTACCCAGAATGCTTTGTGTGGAAATAAAATGTCTCCGTCCGTGTACTATATTTTTAAACTTTTAGTTTAAAAATTATACAAATTAACAGCCTACAGTATTTTTACAGTCTTTATTTTACAGTTAAAATATATGTTTATCAAATAAAGTCTAATGTTACAACTATTCGTGGATCCCTTTAATAAAAGGACTGGAGTCAGTTCTCCATAATTCATCTGCAACTTCAGTGAGAAGCAACACAGAAACATTAGATTGATCAACAAAACCAGAAACAACCCCCAGGTGTGTGTTCTTGCTCCACACACAGAGGAAAAACCTGAGCAGTGAATAATCCTCCTCATGCAGCTAATTCTTAACTAGACTGTTGGGAAAGCTCCGTACCAACAACCAGATATTCTGTTCACAGCTACCACAGTCCCTGACTGAGTCAGGGCCCGGGTTTTTGTAGAAATACACAAAGACTTCATCGTTATTTTCAGCTACCACTCAACYCGTCCTCATCCATCCACACGTGCAGCCAGAGGAAATAAATCAGATGGAACAGAGTAACTGGGTCAAGGAGATGACCCAGTTAAACAGCGGCTCTGCTGGATGACGTGTGGGACAGCAGTTGGACTGGGACTGTAACAGAACCCGTGTGCCAGAAAAACCCACTGAAGGACTAAAGGACCGATCACTGGGGACAAGGTTTGTGTTTACCTTGGGATTAACGTGTGAGAGGGCGTCCTGGAAGAGCCCGCCAACGTCTCCGCTCCCCAGCTGCATTAATGTTCGCAGACTCAAACACCACACCGACACAGACTGGATGTAGCGCCGCGCGGCCGCCACAGCAACACCGGCTCCTCCCTCAGCATCACCTGACAACAGCAGGATCTCCAGCTGGTCACATGGAGAACATCGTGTTAGTTTCCTCTCTTAGCCGCACAAGTTTGATACATCCTGAGCCTCAACCACTCAGCTGTCAGCTGATTAAAAATAACTAAACAGACAACTTTGGGAAAAGTCAGTTTTGTTTGTTTTTATGGTTTCAGTTTTCTTCAGCTACAGGATTAATTGACTGCTTTTTTAATGTGCCTTCATTTCTCGCAGATCACATCTTTAGCTAATTAAGTTTATCAAGAATTATGTACTACATAAATCCACATAAATGTGACTRAAATGTCATTTGTAATCAGATCACACAAAACAAAAGTTATAGTACGGCCTAAACGTTTCTTGTGGGGTTCCTCAGGGTTTATTGCTCAGCCCACTGTTTTTGKTTTTTGTTTTGTTTGAATAAATGACTTTCAAAGTTTCCAGACTGTTAATGTTTCTATTTTTGTAAGTAAAAAACAAATTTTTTAGAGGAACTGACTAAAACAAATGTCTGTATAGAATGGGGGAAAAATAGACACAGTAAAGGATTTCATTGGATTTTAATAGTCAATAATGTTAAAAAAATAAATAAAAGGAGCCATCTAGTAAAAAAAGTTTCACTGATTTTCTGGTTGGAAATAGTACATATTATACTTCACAGCAGGGTTCATGCAAGTTTCAGTAAGTTAAATTTAAGACCTTTTAAAGACCTTTTAAAACCATCAGGAATTATATTTCAGACCGAACCGACGCATTAACAGAAAAATTTAAATTGTGCCACAAGTTTTAACATAGAAACCTTTTATTGCTATCAATTTAGTTATTAAATAATATTTAAATTTAATATAAGAACACCAAGTTATTTTAATGAAGTGGTCATATCTATGAGACCTTCATATCGACTGCTGTGGACCGCTTCCAACAGAGTTAAAAAAAATCACTGATATCAAGCCAAGTCTAATTGAAAACACTTTCCCATGAACTTCTTTGTTTTTTGGGCAGGTGAACAAGCTGCTGTATGCGGGAGGTTGTAGCGGCAAAGAGGTCGAAAACATGGAAGTAAACTGTGCCGTTTTTTGCCTGCAGTTATCACGGGATTTGTAGTTTAAGGACGTACAACGACCGATAGCAAACTTAACACTTCATCAAGACAGATTGCATCAACCTCTGATTACGGAGCTTTAATTCTGTATATGTAGACAGCCAACGCTTCTCAGGAATGATCAAAAGTAAAAAAGATTAAGACTTGATAAAATTAAATTTAAGATCTTGGATGAAAATCTGGGCATTTTAAAGACTTTTTTAGGCCTAAAATNACCAAGTTATTTTAATGAAGTGGTCATATCTATGAGACCTTCATATCGACTGCTGTGGACCGCTTCCACTGGAGTGTAAAAATCACTGATATCAACCCAAGTCTAATTTAATACAAGAACACTAAGTTATTTTAATGAAGTGGTCATATCTATGAGACCTTCATATCGATTGCTGTGGACCGCTTCCAATGGAGTGTAAAAATCACTGATATCAACCCAAGTCTAATTGAAAACACTTTCCCATGAACTTCTTTGTTTTTTTGGGCAGGTGAACAAGCTGCTGTATGCAGGAGGTTGTAGCGGCAAAGAGGTCGAAAACATGGAAGTAAACTGTGCCGATTTTGTCTGCAGTTATCACGGGATTTGTAGTTTAGGGAGATACAAAGACCGATAGCAAACTTAACACTTCATCGAGACAGATCGCATCAACCTCTGATTACGGAGCTTTAATTCTGTATATGTAGACAGCCAACGCTTCTCAGGAATGATCAAAAGTAAAAAAGATTAAGGCTTGATAAAATTAAATTTAAGATCTTGGATGAAAATCTGGGCATTTTAAAGACTTTTTTAGGCCTAAAATTTTGATTTTTAAATTTTAGACTTTTTAAGACCCTGCATGAACACTGTTCACAGATCTGACTTGATTTCTGTCATTTTTCTGAAAATGAAGTTCATGTATTATGTCCATCCATTCTGAAACTTGCTTTGGATTTTCTAATTTAACTCAACAATTTGTGTTTAATAATGGTGAAATAAAGAGAGCGTGTAGAATGTTTTCAGTGTGATCAAAGACAGCAAACAAATTTAAAAAAAAAATTGCCACAAGAATAAACTTAAAACAGAATCCACATGACACTAGTGCCAATTATTGTACCACAAGTGTTATTTAATTGTGCAACAGAATCAATGTAATAAATACATGTTTAGTAGAGGTCTTACCCAGTTTTTGTAGTAATTCTCCTTCAGTAGGGAGGAGTCATGGGCAYGCTGTAAAACTCCCAGCAGCCTCTCCTGTCTCTGTGACACCAACAGATGATCAGTCAGGATTTACTCCTTAACTTTACAAAGGCTTAAGCCCCTGACACTTCGCCGCACTGAGCTAACAGAAAAAAAAACATCATAGGTGGTTTTTATGCACCTTTTCTTTCAGCTCTTGGACGTTAGTCTTTCTCTTTAGTCTTTCCAAGCAGAAGGCCACATAACAGGTCCACATTGGCTCTGAAAGGAAAAGCAAGCATACCATTTTTTCTTTGAACTTTTGTATCCAGAATTTTTTTCTAATAACACTTTAAACTTATTAATGAAAAAAAATATTTAATTCACGAATATTCTTTTTTCTAATTTTTTTGTTTAACTGAAACAAACTTTGCTGTAAACATTGCTGTAATGAAGATTAATATAAAAGTGGTCAGAAACTGATTTAATGAACATCAACATGTGTGTATTTTCTGAGCTCCCACCAGTGTTGAGGCTCTTGACGCCCTCCTCGTACACCTGACAGCAGCGCTCCTCTCTGCGGTTGATATCCGAGGCTCGACCTTTGGCTGAGTGGAGCTCCTCCCCGGCCCCCGGAGCCTCCAGCTCCCTCTTGGCCATGAAGTCCCAGGTCAGGCTGTCCTCCGTGTAGTTTGTCTGTAAGCTGAAAAAAAGGCAAACCAAAAGGATAAAGTASAAGTTGTTGGAGTAAGAAATTGTTTTGAGGCTGTGTTTGTTCTTTACTCTTGCAGAATCATGTCCTGAAGTTCTTTGGTGAAGTCAAAGACCGATGCTATGCTCAGGAGTGAGATGACAAACTCTGCTTCTGTAGTTAAAAAAACAAAAAACATTACATCATTAAAGTAGCTTCTGTTGTTCAGTTGTAGCTGCACACTTAATACTTTCTGGGAGTTCCATAAAAATCCTTTCAGAAAGCTTACCTTTGATTTTGTCTGTAGCGTCTCTGTACACAACCTCGGTGAGTTTGCCACTCAAGATCTCAGGAGAAAACTCATATTCACCCTGGAAGGTGTGAACAAGAGGTACTGAAACATCAAAAACAAAGCGATAGCATCTTCGTTTGTACTCCCCTACCAGGTTTTTTAGCACTCACAAAGTCCAGATCAGCTTTCTCCAGCACCTCTTTCTGCTTCCTCAGCTTCTCACAGTGCAGCAGCTCCATGCGGAAGTACTGAAACAAAGACCGACCGAGGATTTAGTGGCTGCTCGTGTTTTAAAACAACTTTCAATGTATCCTTTTCTTAACTGTGTGAATGATGATTCAGTTTTCCTGTTAGTGCTGACATAATTATTCACATTTTTCTAAATATTGACTCAGTTTCAGCTTTTTGAACATATTTCAGCTAAGTCATTCAGCGTTCACACTGCATTTTCAAAGAAAACGTGGGTTATTCCGTTAAGGTTGCATTGCTTGCTTTACCTCCTGGTAGACTTTCTTGCTGTTTGGGTGAAAACGAAGCGCTCGCAGAAACAGGTGTCTGGCACTCTCGGACGAATCTCGATCCTCCAGCTCGCTCTTGGCAGCCATGATCCACAAGGCTGAAACAAGCAAAGCTCGGTTTGCACACTTAAAGATGCTGAACAGTAATAGAAGACCTCAGCAGAAGTTCCGTCTTAAATCTCTACCTGGTTTGTCGGGGTGGATAGCAAGCATTGCTGAGAAAACCTTGCTGATCTGACCTTTGGTTGTCTGGTGAGTGAAGCGGAAATTATTAGTAAAAACTAAAAATAAAGAAAAAGAAGACACAGGCTTGTTTGTRTGTCCAATGTCTACGTACCCATTTCTTGGCAAAGGCAACATGTGAGAGCCAGAGCTGCACATCATCCTGTAAATAAACAAGTATTTACATTCCCTTTTGTTTTGACTGTACACCAATTCATTTAAAAAATAAAGACAACAGTTAGGTTTTGTTGGAAGTAAGACGTCACTCTGTCATGCACATGAGTCCCTCAAGGATGTGTACTCAGTCCTCTACACTTCACTCTAATGAAACATGGCTGTAATCACACACACACACACACACACACACACNCACACACACACACACACACACACACACACACACACACACACACACACACACACACACACACACACACACACACATTTTTATATAGTACCTTCCACTTTTTTGTGGCTCTTCTGAAAATACTGGTTATTCTGTGGATGATGGGGAATTCAATCTCCTCCTGTTTAAAGTGGTAACGTATGTGCTGAAAACACGAACAAACACAAAGTATTTATAATATATGTATTTAATGTATTTATATGTTTTACCTAACATATCTAATTCATAGAAAATGTGTTTCAAAGTCTTTCTTTAATATTTTATAAACAGTTACTTACCGCTCTTCTCTTCTTGATCAGCTCTAAAACATTGATTTCATACTACAAGGAAAAGACAGGTAAAATTAAATGTCACTGTAAATCTGCCTTAGCTTATCCAGTACCTTTAATTTATTTACAACAAACACTTCCACATGAAGATAAATCTACTTTACCTGAATGTAGGAGATGAAGTCCTCCTTGTTTACAATCAACCGGTGCAGCTTGTACTCCAGAGCTGTTGATTTCTTTATTATGGCTCTGAAATAGTCAGAAATAATGAACCAGTTTTGCTAAATTCCCTTTCAAAGTTTTTTTTAAGCTTTGGCTGCATTAACAAACACTTCAGTCCAGCCATTTTAAGAGAAGTATKTGTTGTTGTTTTCTTTATTTCATTCTGAATTATGAGTATTTAGGCCTAAAAGGCTCCTGAACTCAAGAGTTGAAAAAGTTTTTATTGAAACAGGAACATCAACATAGCAAAGAAACATTTTTAAAAGGGATATTTTAGACACTATACTGCAGTCTGTCAAAAAGACACAATTTGTTACCATTTCTTTCGTTGAAGCTTTAAAAAAAATACTAGAGATAACACAGTTTGACACAGAGATTAGTATTTTAAGAGTTGAAGGGCTATCAGAAAGTCTGGAGATCAAAATCACTTTAAAAGATGTTTGAATTCAGCTGTCTGAAAGCAAAATATAATGAAGTTATAAGTGGTGTGGTTTTGTTTTCTGCAAAGCTTATATGATGACTGACAGTTCAGAGCTCAAATGAATTATCCACTGGTAACACTGACATTCACATTGCATAGATAACGTTAGATTTCATATCATTTGACTGGGTGTTTTCTCCCTGCTAAACAGGGAGCAGATCAAAACACGCCATAAATCATAAAGTAGCCTTGTTTCAGAGTGATTAAACTGTGAAAACTCACTTGACTTCTTTCTTGGTGAAAAGTCCCACTCTCTCCAGCTGCTCCAGCTCAGGGATCCGGTCCTCGACCCGCTGCTGAACGATCTCCGCCATGTTTGCTGTGAACGCGGTGAGTGAGCCTCAGGCTGCACAGATAAAAGCTCAAATAAAACCAGTGTTTTCAAAAACTTCTCAAGGAAAGACTTCTGAATAAGATAATAGTCTGAATCTGCTCCGTTCACGTGTGAAAGTTGTGATTGGAGGAACTTCCGGTCCCGTCTGTTAACAGGTCCGACAAGAAACACAAACCCGTGAAGGGAATTTCGTCTCTTCTTTCGTGATCTGAACTTTTTGGCCTAGCCAACAAGAAGAGGTGATTCCCTTTCAGTCAATTCACGGTACAAGTATGGGAGACCACGCCCCTGCGTGTCCTGGCTGAAGCCACCTCTAAAGTTGGAAGAAAAGTTCCAACTCGTTAAAAAAAAGGTTGGAAGTTGGAAGAGGTGGGAGTGCTTGCGAGGTGAAGAGCAATAGAACTAAGGAGTCAAAAAGAAAAAAAATTGTACAGGTCTTCTGGACGGGTTCTTCTCTAATGAAACGTTTCATCTCTCCTCCAAGAGACTTCTTCAGTCTGAGAGTTTCAGGCAAAATTCAGGCTTTTAAGCCTGAATCTAAACATGATGTCCCAGTAGCTTTCAAACCCCAAAACACATTACGGCAAAGACTGGTTCACCCC